GCGTATAGAAACTCTATAGAATTCTAGAGAACTTCTATAGAGTTTCTATAAAAACTTCTATAAAAATTCCTATTGAAATTATTTTTTCTACTTTTTTTTTTATAGAAATAAAATTTTTATAGCAATTTCTATAAAAATCAATAAACATTCTATAGAAATTCTATAGAGTTTCTGTAAGCAGCCGTGGCGCAGTGGTAGCGCACTTGGTTCAGAAACGTAAGATCCGTAGTTCAAACCCCACTTCTGGGCAAGTTTTGCGACATCGGTTGGGAAGGAGGCGTGAACTTCCTATTAAATTCTCTTTCGCGGTGCTCTGTGATAAGACCGTAAGGACTTCTTGGGGCACCTTAATCAACTTAGAAAAAAAAAAAAAAGAAAATAAGCCATATGTTTCAAATGTTTATAGAAAATTCTATAGAACTTTTTTTTTAAAACCGCAATCCTTAAATTAGTAAGCAGTGCAAAAATGGTTCTTAAATCTTTTTTATATGACGAGTTATTAGTTTTGTCCAGTAAAAATGATTTCTGGCCCACTGTGGTCGGTACCTAACTTAAAAAAACGACTTGAAATCAGATTTTTCAAGAACGAATTCATTTCAAGTTTGTTTCTTGCATAACGCTTTAGTCAGACTTTAGATTTGAAGTATAACTTGAAATTTCAAGTTCGCTTCTTGCATTCGGAAAAGATTTTTGCTTTTTCAAGTTAGCTTTTCAAGTCTAACTTGAAGTTTTTAAGTTAGATTTCAAGTTCAAGTTCGCTCTTAGCATTTGCCTAAGTCAAATTTTAGACTTGAAGTATGACTTTAAATTTCAAGTTCGTTTCTTGCATTCTATCCTTAGTGTCGTTACAAAGGGGCGACACGAATTGTTATTGCTTTACACTCAGCTAACCACATTGCAAGAGAAAATGACGTCTGAAGAAGCCTTTGCCTACTTCTTGGATAACAAACTTTAAAAAGGTGTTTTTGAAAATATTTATAAGGAAGCACAATGCAGATTTCCATCATCGAGCAATTTTCTAAATAAAAATGAGTGCTCACCGTCAAGAACATCCATTAAAGTTACTAAAACAAAGGCCAAAGCTAAATTACATAATCTTACGGATCACATATCCAAAAATTGCGAAACTACAGAAAAAGAAAACTTTAAAACATTAAGATGATAAAAAAGAAGATTTTGATGATTTAATACTTATTAGTAGTTGGGGTTGGGGTTGGGTTGGAACGGAGCATCAAGTCACTAAAAATACCATCAATAATTTCAATCTAAAAAACCTTCAAGATTTGGATCTATCAATCACAACAACATCACATCTTCGAATATATGTAAATTTATGTAGAATATATGTAAAAAAACAATATTTTATGGAATAACAAAATGATTTTTTAGACTATGCTGGAGTATATAAAGGAAAGTAAAGAAGTGGTATTAAAAATTAAGGAGCGTATTGAAAAAGAAAAATTCTTAATTTATATCTTGTAAAAGCTTATCTTCTAGAATATAAGTATGATCAATTATAATTTTTCCCTTTCAATGTTTGATAGTAAAACCTTAGTTTACATCACGTTATTACATCACGGACACTTTTATGACACAACGTTGTACGAATAGTCACACATGATGAGCAATCTAAAAAACTTTAAAGAAGGATGTATTAAAGAATGCTTGGATTAGGTTTTTTGAATTTATTTGATATATTTTATATAGAATTGAAATAAAAATCTGGAAAGTAAAAAAGGTTTTGAGAGATTATCATTTATTGAGAAAAAAAATTATTCATGATAGGATGTTTGAAGAATTTGGTTTTAGACTTGATGAACCAAGAGCTAGTGGATCGAGAATTAGTAATACCAAAAATTTATGCTGAAAAGCTTTTTCTTATCCTCTGTTACTCAGCAAAATTTTAGAAATTGATGAAGAAATTACTATCAGATAACATTTTAATTACAATCAATTGGGAACACCCATTGATCCTGAAAAAAATTATAAATACTGCAATAACACATATAAGAAATTATTAGACAAATGATTGGTTCAAGTTCCCAGTTTCCATCCACGAAGTATTAGCATATGCTGGGGAAATCATCATTAATTCACCAGTTTAACTTGGTTTAATGGGAAAAGAAGCAGCTAAATCTGGACACAGAATTTATAAACTTAATTGTGAACTCCATGCAATGAAAAAAAAAGCAAAGTATTATTAACTTTATAACATACTTATTTGACATTTTCATTCAAGCAATACATACTTCTTATCCCCTAATTATTTCAATCTCGTAAACTTAAAGATTGAAAAATAAGAAAATGTTGTGCTTACCGGATAAAGTTAAAAGGTTGTTTGCAGTTTTAGCGGGGATAGAGAAAAGTCATCTGATACGGAATCAGATGAAATTAATGACTTAGATGAATTATATTTAAAAGTTGAGAACGTTAATGAAAATCTAAAATCAGATATAGATGAATTGAAGAATAGAGTTCTAAAATGTATAATTTGTATAATGTACAACTTCATTTTCGTTTGACTACTATATAAAGTTATTAAATGTATAAACAAAAAAGTCTTAAATCAAGAAAAAATTATAAAATACTGTAAATATTCAATCAAATCTTTTTATATATAATTTAACATTTTTCAGTAACTTGCAAACCAATTTAATAGACATTGAAAAATACCTCATCCCCTTTAGGGATATGGGTGCAAATTGTGTTTATCCTTAAACTAAACTTGCTATTGCAATTAACATCAATATGATTAGCGAATAACAGGATAAAACAATTTTAGAAAGTTTTGAAAACAAATTATTATAGTTACAACTTATACACACTAAAAAAAATGTAGAAATTTCTACCTTACGGTAGGAAATGTGATACACCTTTTGTAAGGTATAATCTTCTACCTTTTAAGGTAGAAAATTATATTAAAAACAATTATTTTTCATACAATTTTCTACCTTGAAGGTAAACCTTTAACCTTAACCTTACAAGGTAGAAAATTACACCTTGTTAAGGGTATATCACATATCCTACCTTAACTAAATATTTCTACCTTTAATTTTTAGTGTGCAGTTATAATAAGAAAACTCAACAAAATACCAAAAAAGTGTTTTTCAAAGGGGGCTTCGAAATATATTTTTACAATCTGCGTTACAATACTTTACCATAAAATTGTCCATTTTAACTTTCTAAATAAGACATAAAATTTTACCTATTAATTATAAAATAATTTAACTTTTTTTGAAAAATTCAGGGAAATTATTATCCCTAGACTTTTGTAATACATCATTAAAACCAAACTTAATAATTAAATAATATATAGTTAATATAATATAAAGTTCGCCCGAACCAAAGCCATTAGGCTGTGGCTCGGGCGAAATGAAATTTAGAATTTATCGATGAATATAAATTAATTTAAGAAAAGTAAAAAAAAAACTGCATCCGCCCTTGAGTAGTGAAATTCAAGCTGCTTTGTATTTTTTGAATTCACTTTATGTGGTGCTAAAAGGAAGCAGTGTAACTAGAATTGCTTCAATGTGGCTTAACAGTTTCAATTAAAAGTGACTTAACAGTTTCAATTAAATGTGGCTTAACAGTTTCAATAAAAAGTGGTATATGAACTATAATAAGTTTCGTTACTAACGAATATTATAATCCAAAAACTAGTTCTAATTGTCAGGTTTGTATTTATTTAATTAATAAATTATTATTTTTTTGAGTTAAGTACTCATATTATCATGTTCTGGGTAATTATGAGCACTTTTCGCTACTTTTTAAAACCTCGGTATTTTGAATTAAAATATCGGGTGCCCAAATATCTGAGTGGATCATGAGTAGTGATACCTAAAAATTGTTTATTCGTAATAATTTTGGATTCAGCATAATTATTCTTCAAAATATGTTTCAATATTCGTCTAAGGTACCCTAATCTACGCTAAGTTATTGTATATAACCTCTACCCATGTCAATACCTGCCATAATATATCCGATCTTTCTTTGCCCTTGTAAGTTGGCTATCTTTGTGTGCATACCTAAACACTAGTTGCTTTGAAATTCATAGTCAGTTATATAACTAAATAATACCAAGTTTGCTCAATCTGTTTTGACTACAATCCTAATATTTTGTTTTAATTATTTTATACAAAACTTCAAAAATTTTAACTTTAGTTTGAAGCAAATCTTGCAAACTTTTTTTTACCAGACAACTCCATTGAATAAAAAATAAATTGTTTATAGTTACGATTAGGGGAGACCGGGAAACTTTAGACAGTTTTCACTCTAAATTAGGTTTATTTAGTAACTGTTGTACTAAAGTATAGCAAAATATCGTGTTATTAAAACGAAACCTTTTGTCCTCTTTTGGAGCTGGCAATCGTTACATCGTTATAGGCGACATTTGTTCTTATAAATCTATTTGAAGTTTTTTTTTTTTTTTGAAACTCTGCCTCATAACCATTCCTATCTTTTTAACAACTTTTGCTGTATAGTTACAACATGGTTGTTTTCTGCAACAATTTATAATGTACAAACTTATTTTGATTGTAGAAGACCATAACCTTTACAATTATAAATCTTCTTTCTGGCACGTCAAAAATATCAGTATTTTTGCCAATGAATGCATCAAAAGTCTTGAATATTTCAATGTAAAACACTATTTATCATTAAACTGGATTTGTTAAAAATTAAGTTTATGACACACTGGGTTTTAATTTTTCAATATTCATGTTTTAGCTGAAATAAAAAACTAAACTGCATTTTATTTCCTTTTACTTTTAAATATCACCGCTATGAAAAATTTAATACCCTCTAATAAAACTTTTATTAATTATACAAACAATAAACAAAGCTGTCTAATTTTAAAAACACAGCAAAGCACGCCATTAAACAGATGCTAGAGTGTTATTGACGGCTGAAATGCGCCAATCTTATTTCAACTATTCATAAAGCAACCAATGAAATAGTGCGTGCTAATACCAATTGGAAAGCAATCAAATTTTGTAGTGTCTTCAAAATTGAAATGCAACGGCAGCGTACTTGATACGCCAGCCAATCAAATGGCTTAATTTAAACAGTACTGCAGTTATAGCGTTAGTTCGATGAAGCGAAACTGTCGTTGGTATCGCAGCTGTTTAACAAGTTTTTAGATTATAGTGTTTGCAAATTATCATTGAACCTGTTGAAGGGAATTTTTTTAAAAAGGCCTTTTTTTTGTATTGGAATAAATTAGCTGAAATTTATATTGGTAAGATCATTGTTTTTCTTGACAACAGTGTGTATTATCCTGATAGTGCATAAGTACATTATGACTATATTTAATCTACGCACGATATTAACTAACGTAGATAAAAATGCGTTTTCCATTTTAAATATATGTCTCCTTTTTCAAATAAAGAAAATGCATTTCTTATTATTTAACTTTTAAAAACTTTTTTATTTTTGTGTGCTAAGGTTTTCTATACTAGCATTTTTCCGTGTTCAACCCAATTTTATTCTTGTTTTAAAGCAGTCAGTTTGAATTTTTGTTTAACTAATCAATTTCATAATTGTCAAGTTAATTTTTCTATAACCAATCAACCCTGTAGCCATGTGCAATGTTTGAAATGAAAACGGCAATTTGAAGTTAAACAATCGGTGTAAAAGCATTTATAGAACGCTTGACTACGCGTTTGTGCAAAAAAAAAATTAGCTGCTGCAAATATTGTCTATTGTTGCAAATTTATGCAGAGTTAAAAAGCATAACTTGTTTAGGGGAACTATGAGCCTGTTTAAAAACTAAATGATTAGGTTTATATACTAATTATTAAAAAACTTTAACTGAAAAAAGCAAGTCACGTGTTGGTGAGAAATTTTAAACCTTTTTATTTATTTTTTGTTTTTATATGCATTATTTTACAAACACTGATCAATATTTTTTTAATATCTTCCTTGGTTCTACATCAAAATATATTTGAACATTATTAATTAGACTTTTTTAACTAGGCATTGTTATAAATAATTATACTTATTTTCAAATCTTGAAATGCTATAAGTTTTAAATTTACTTTATTATCGCATAACTACAAACAATATCATTCACTCTTAATAAACAATGTTTGCAATTTCATAAATCAAGATCGAAAAATTCTACTTCTTTATTGATGCTATTATTATACAGACCAGTACATGTAAAACAAAGAAAATTAATCCGCATAGCAAAAAACACGAATGATAATTAACAATTATAAATGTAGAAGGTTTTTTATAAAAAATATTAAAAGTTATGAATAAAAAAGATTGACCAAAATAAATATTAAAAAAATAAAACAGCTAAAAGCAAAGTTAAAAGAAGTAATAATTAAAAAAAAAACATTAATATATAAAACATTAGTAATAATTAAAAAAAAAACATTAATATATAAAACAATCTCCGATTTGCTAACACCAAATAATAAAGTTAATGAAAGATAATACAACAATTTTTTAAGTTTTCTTGATTCACGTGCATTGTTTATTATGTTGTGTATTTTTGTGCATAGCATATATTAGCTGTGTATTGTTTCTAACTGTCGTGTATTTTTGTGCATTGCTTTTGGTTTGTGAATTTTTGTGTATTCTTTAAAATTGTCGTGTATTTTTGTGCATTGCCTATGGATTTTAAATTTCTGTGTATTGTTTATATTTATGCCAATTTTATAGTCTAATAATTTTTTTTTCCATTTTATGGTTAAAATGTTTCAGATTTTGTAGATGTACATGTACATAAAAAATTATCTGAAGTCAAATACAACCAAAAACCGTTGAATAAAAATAACATGAACATACAAAATTATCTGAAGTCAAATACAACCAAAAACTGTTGAATAAAAATAAAAATTGACTTAAACAGTTTATTATAATTTTAATGTCAAATAAGTTTCTAAATATCTTTACAGGGCCGTGCAGAATCGATCTTGAAGAAATAGGGAGGGCAGGGGGGGCGGAGATGTAGAATCGTTTTTTTTTTTGCCAAGACCTAAAAAAGAAAAAATAGGTTTACCATAATTTTGAAGTTGTAAACCAGGACAGTCAGGCAGGTGGCAACAATATTAGGATAAATTGGCAAAGGAAGGAGGAAGAGGTGCGAAACAATATTTTTTATGCTCTACCTATTTATAACTGTAACTAGGTTCCTGGAAAGTTATGTATAAAAAAAAAAAAATCCAGTTGTCCCATTACTCTGGGGCTGATGAGTTCAACAGCAAGTCAACAACATCAAAATATTTTTTATTACTTGTTGAGTCTTAAAAAAAAATACAAAAAAAAAAACAACTATTGACTGTTGTTATACTAATTATATCGTACTATTTCAATTTTTTTTTTTTTTTTTTTTTTAATTTTCTGATAAAAAAGTGAGCGTGTAATGCCAAAATTTAATTTGCATTACAGCACGTACCGAAAACCCCTTCAAAAGACCTAATGTTTTTCATTATTGAAAAAATATGCTTTACATATCTCGGGTATCTGGCCCTCTATATAGCAACTAGCATGAGGAGGTAAAATTACAATACCCACTGAGTAGAAATGTATTCATACAAAAAATATATATATAAAATATAAAAGTATAAAAATACTTTAAATCAAAAATATAAAAAAAACTATATATAGATATATATAGGGAGAGTTGCCGAAATTGGAACAACGCCTTAATTGAAACACTTGCATTTCTTTTTGAAAAAAAATGAATTATGGTTGCATTTTGCATTTTTTTAGTAAAACGCATTATTTTCTACGTTTTGACACAATTAGAAAGTTATTTCTCAAAAAATGCGTTTGCACCATTGGTTTAAATTGTCGTTTTTTTTCAGTGATCTAATTTTGAGTTCACACTATATTGATTGCGCTGGGTAAACTATGGTGTTAAAGGTTATACTGTTTTATGTGTTTAATTTGATGGGATTTAAAAAGCAAAATAACTATATAATCTTATCTTATAAGTTGCTGCAATCATTTTATTGTAGTAATAAAACAAAATAGTCAAAAGTTTCCTTGATTGGAACATTAAAATTTTCCTTACCTAATCAGTAATAAAATCAAAGGGTTGTAAAAATAGTTCGAGTGCAATTAAAAAAATACTTAGTAACAACCATAAACTTTGAAAATAATACTTTATTTAGTGATTTTTAATCAATAAACGAAGAGAACGTCATAAAAGTTGAAGCTTTATACAATTTTTTGTTTGTAGACTTTAAATTTGGTAGGGTAATACAAATCCTATAATAAGTTTTAAATTAACTGTATATATTTTTACTGTAAAGATGAAAATCATTTTTTACAAATTTTGTTGATTTTACAGTTGTTGTTTTTTTAAATAACCTGTTTTGATTAAGGAATCAAAGTGTTCCAATTTAGGGAACCAGTTGCCTTGATTGGAGCAAAATGGTAACTTTGCAAAAACAAATTTATTTCTAATAACAGTGCAATCAATTAAGTCAAATTGTGGTTAAAAGTATAGTAGGGATGTCTGTTAGCACAAATGTTTTCATAGTCAAGCCATCTTTTGTTAATAAATATTTATTCCTTAAGTGTTCCAATTAAAGCAACTCTCCCCTACATATATATATATATATATATATATATACATATATATATATATATATATATATATATATATATATATATATATATATATATATATATATATATATATATATATATATATATATATATATATATATATATATATATATATATATATATATATACATATATATGTGAACAAAAAAAAAAAAGTACTTGCTGAGGTAGTTTGTTCCAGAATTTTGCTGATCTATTATATAAGTGATTGTGTCTTAAAAGGCAATTTGTGACATACTCGCGCCTTTATTTTAAAATGGTGACCGCGAGACAAGAAATTAATAAATTTTGGTAGATGCATATCATTAACTATATCAAAACAATGTAATAATTAAAAAATTCTGATTAGATTACTTGCCGATTAGATTAGGTACCGAAACTCAAGTAATGTTAGATCTAATCTTTTTATTCTTTTTGCTGTATGGAATATGTTTCAAGTTAAGGGTCTATTTTGCTACTTTCCGTAAAACAGATTCAACTAGAATCTGTTTTATTTCATATTTGCCATATTTTCAGCAATAAAAGTGAATGTCCTTTTTAGCGTACTAAGAATTAATAGGGATTTAGAGACAGTTGTTTGAATATGAGAGAGGTCACCTAAGATTAGATGTAAAAATGATTCCTAAATCACTTTTTTAAATCGAGCTTCATTGGCATTATACCTTAATTAATATCATTGATTTATACCTCAACTAGTTTTCAAAAAGTAAATACATGAAGATGAAGAAAATGCGGCAGCCAAGACTCAAGCTTTGTGTTTGGCATGCTTTAAATGATTTTTAATGTCTGCTCCCCCACCATGTGCATCAGAAAATTTTGTTAAACATTGTTGACACATCAGTTTATTGTTCTCACCACACCATTTTTTTAAAAATAGGTAATCATTTCTTAAATCATTCGAAAATTTGTAACTTCTTCTTAGTATTTTAAACAAAGACGGCTTCTTATACATTCGTTAACGTCGATTCGGATACAAAACAAGTTTTTGAATATTTGATAAAACGCAGACCGGAAAAGTTATTGTTAATATTTGTATTAGTATTGAAAGATAATCACTTTATAAGTCTGCGTTTTATTAAAAAGTCAAAATCTTACTTTGAATCGTCCGAAAAGAACGCGAACCCAAATACATATACGCTAATAAAGTCAATAAGACGATACCTGGACATAATAAAAATCATTGGGGCACTGGAATAGATGGTATTACTGGTAGCTTTTTCTAATTCGTTGTCTTCCTTTTTTTCACCTACATTCTAATTTTAAAAAATATTAGAAAAAGAGAAAAGATAAGTTGATATTGAAAAAACAGTTTTTTAAAACTTAAAAAGCTTTACCGATTTTTACATCCATTTAAAATAATCATGACAACCATTTAAAACAACCATAACTTTCATTTAAAACACCGCGACAATCAATTAAAACGATGTGATTTTCAATTAAAATAATCGTGATTTTCAATTAAAACGCGGTGCTCTGTGATAAGACCGTAAGGACTTCTTGGGGCACCTAAAATCAACATTAAAAAAAAACATTTAACGCATTCGATTAATTTATTCGATTTTTTAAAATTATTTAAAATTTTATTTTATTTAAAATATAATTTTTTAATTTTAAATAAAATATTTTGAGATCAGTGAAATATTTTTGAGT